TCTTCTTTGGCTAAACCAGCTGAAGCTGGTTTTCTAATTCATCATTTCAACTTATAACATAGAGTACATGACATCATCTGCTCTTCCTTTGAAGTAAAAAAACATAAAGCTTTGCTCACTGCTGCCTTCATATAAGTCTGGTTTTGAGTAACCCTCTAAACCCATTTATAATAAATATGTTAAATGAACATTTACAAGAGAATATTTTATCAAACATCGACATAATGTTTTGATTATTATTACTCAAATACACACAGGAAATTAATTTAGGCCCGTGTTTTCAGGTGCATTAAAATGATTGCACTATAAAAGAAAATCACTCATTTCTAATTTACAAAAAAAAATTCATCCCACTCTTCAGCCATAAATTTGTTAAACCTACAGGATTTAATGCATTTTAAAATGCTAGGTTAGTGTTTTGAACATGCTGCTTTCATAATGATTCTATTGTTTGCTTTATATTTTATTAGCCCAAGCACAGAATAATGGTAAATAGAACTTCTATCTGAGTATGTTCTGGAATTGAATTAAATAAATGATGAACAAAAGGAATGAACAACAGCTCTGATAATTATTAGGATCAGCTAAATCCTGGAGTCACTGGGTACATTCAATATAGTTCATATCAGTCATTAACTTCAGCAACCAAGCAGAGTCTGTGCTAAAGCTCTAAATGCTTACAGAACAACTCTCTTTGTTCTTTAATGCTTTTCTCACCATGAGCCTGCTAAAAAGAATGAGGAACATACTTATGGCAGCCCCTCTCTGCATTCTGATTTATTGAATGAGAAAGAGCAGCATGCTTGGAAGAAATTGAAGCCAACATTTTTGGGGAAAAAAAATGGTGAGCATTTTGTCTTATACATTTAAAACACTGTCCACTTAAAGCAGGCTATAACCTTCCAAGTATGTGTGTGTGTGTCCCTTTCAGAGGTTTGTTTGTTTTTTATTCACAATATATAGTGGCTAGATGTATATAAAAGATCCACATTTTTGAGCTGTGAGGCCAGGTATATACCTATAGGTTCAATTATAATTATTTCTTCATACTATTTATTTTTACAGTGATCAGCTCTAAAAATACATACATACATGTAGTTATTTAGGATTTTCCATTATGCTAGTGATGACTAAATCTGTCAGAAAGCAAAAGAGTCAAAACTTATTCAACATACCCACACTTTAGGCAGAACTAAGAGTTGACTACAGCATAACTGAATACGAAAAATTTAATTCCTTTTTTTTTGCTTAAAGAAACCTAAAGATGAAAAAAGTAATGGGTTGAAGATGGAAAGAGTAAACTGGCACTTTCAAGATTGTTGCAAAAAATTTGTTAGACCAAGCAGGCTGGATTTAAATATTAAAAATATTACTCTATCAATTTATTATTCCTATAACTTGATTGTAAGCATGCTGGAATCTGTAAATCTGAAATTGTGCTCATTCCAGCAGAAGTTCTCCCTAATTCAACTAATCATTGAATATAGAATACAAACGGTATCTGTGAGGAAGGGCCTCAGGATAAAGAACTCACTGATCAGCTCTGATTCCATCTGCAAGGTACAAGGTTTTCTTACTTTTGACAGAATGGAAAAAGCATTTTAATCCTTAAAACTAAAACAGAATAAGTAAAGTTCCAGCTGCAAGGCTGAGGGGGTCTGTTTGCTTTATGATGTTCATGATGGAGAACTCTATGTTATTGCAGTGGGGATGGGTATATTCTATCTCAGACACAGGCTGGACTTCCTTTGACCTGAAGTAAACCCTTCAAAAGCAGAAAGTGTTTGCAAAAGCCTTGATATTATAAGTAAAAAAAGAATATTATTAAACCTAATATTTAAATAAATCACTGAAGGAAAGTATTTTTGACCCACATTGTTCACTATGATTAAAATAACAGATACTTTTTTTTCTAATAGGATTCTTTTTCCCAATACTAAACACACTCTTGATTATGTCAGACAGCAAGTATGCTTTAATTAAAATTCCACATATAAAATAAAACCTCTTAATCTGAAGTATAAAAGTCTACAAATGACTGCACATTGTGGGACATTTTAAAATGTGTAGTTGCATAACCACAAACCAAAAAAACCAGCAATTATACTTTTTCGGTGAGTATTTTGATTAGTTACAAGCTAAAATAATCAGTGTATAGTTTTTGTTTCGCAAAACAGGGAATTTCTAGGTCTTGTCTCAGAACAATAAAGAAATTGATTCAAATTACTTAGACAATAATATTTTTTTCAGTGTGAGATACAGATCTTCAAAAAAAAATTAAGTTTCCACTAAGATCAAAGAAAAAAACCCCAAAACCCTGAAACACAACAATGTAATAGTTGTTATTGCAAAGATGTACTGTAAATGTGGACCCAAGGTGGCATTGAGTGCTTATACTTTAAGATAAGAAGGACAATTTTTTTTTTTTCATTTTTTAAAAGGAAAGGAAATTATCTTTTTTTCCACAGCTTAGGGGTTTTCAACTGCTATTCTTAGAAGAGATGGATACTGTCTATTAAGTGAGTTTTGTCTTTTTCAAAATATCTGAATTCCCTTCTTATTTTTCAACTTTAATGAAAATCCGAATATGAGCCATTCCCCGTTTCAATATAAGACACACAGATATTTAAGGTGCAAAGCATAGAGGTTATAATAACAAGAATACACAACACCAATATTGGAAAGAACATGTTTATAATTACATCCATAGTTAATAATCTATAAGAGCAGCAGGTTTCCCTAAAAGAGACAGCAATTCTGACAAAATCCATTGTGTAGAAGAAAAGAATCTTTAAGTGGTGACTGTCCACAGCTGCCTGGAGAGAAGAGGTGGTGATGAATAGGTGTAACAAAAATTAGTACTGTGGGTGAATCTATCTGCTTGTTCTGTTTATTCACATAATATTATGAAGATAATATGAAGACCCATAGTACTACTAAAGGAGTTTACTAATTTGGAGGTTGTCCTTAAATCTGCTGGGGTTTGCAGAGGTGGAGATGGAAAAGTTCTATTCCTATGAATTCATTCATTTTTAGCACATCAAAATCAGCCAAGTCTGTTTCTGTCTCTTTCTAGTTAAATATTAAATACTGAACTCCTACCTAAACTACAAGTGATGAATTACATTTTTTTTTTAAACTATTCCTACAAATAGTAGCATGAATCTGATTCCAAAGCTTTTTTTCCTTCCTTTCTTCTGTCAGTATGTTGAAATTACTTCTGTGCAGTGGAGCACCGACCAAAGGGACAGAAGGGATCACTTAATAATGCAGTAAATCCGTACTCTTGAAATCCAGGTATCAAATATTGCAAAAGGTTATTGACATTATTCTGGTATAAATCACACACTTGGAGAATCTTTCTCTTCTCTCTTTATAACAGAAGCAATCAAAAAGAGTATATGGACGTTTATTATGAGGTTAATCACTCAACAGTAATTGCCTATCTGTACTGACCAAATAAATCAATGCTATACATCAACAAAGAGGATTCTGGTTATTGAGTTTAAATACATATGATTGATTACTTGAATCTCCCAAAACAACATCAACAATTTGATTTCCAGACACTTCCAGCAGTGGAAAATTGCATTCCCAATTGATTATCATTTCTGTTAATGTGGAGGGAAAATGTGATACTGTGAAAGAGAAAACAAACTTTTCATCACTAAAGAAAACTGTTGCAATTCCACCTAATGCTTAACATAAGAGTGTCACTAGTTGTTGCTGTGCCTCAGATTTCTATATTAGACAAAATAATGATCAAGAACAGCCCACGTAATTATTCTGGAAGACTTGTTTCTAGGCTTACTAGATATTTTGAGGGTGCAAGAACTTACACATGCAAGTCTCCTTGTCAACCATATGGATCTAGTTCACTTCTAATTTGCCAGGAAAATCCTCATTCTACCTTCTTTTAGGAAATATACCATGAAACTACACGGAATTACATAGTTCATGAGGTACTCCTGCCTCCCATTGTAATCCTGGAATTGTGAAAGCTCATTTCTTTCCCTTACATGTATGTTCAGCTACATGCTTTACATAATTGTAAAATGGAGGTTAGAGGTCTGGTGAGAAATTGAAAACTAAATGGACCATTCTTAACATTGTTCTGCTGCTATGGATGTTACTATTACAGCATAAATTTTGTTTTCATTGATAATGGATTTTAAATACTGATCTGGTAGTTTTAGCAGGTTATGTTAAATGCATCTTATGCAATTTCTGTTTGCTGAATTATAGAGTTTATTCATGTTACATAATTACTAAGTGGAACTTAATACTTCAAAATGTTTTCAAAGCCAAGACTAAATGGATTAAAAATATAAACAGACTAATGCAAAATAGATTAACTGGTAACCACAGCACATGACAATTGAGATCAGAAAGTTCTTGAACTATGAATTAGAGAAAGTGGGGAGAGAGGAAACAGGGAAAATTCTCCTGTCCCTCCTCATGTGCTGCTCAAGCACCTGTCACACACTTGCAATGGTCTCACTGGGACAGAGTTACTGCTCTTGGGTTGTGGCCGCAGCTGTTCTCATGTTCAAAGACAATTAGAGCTGGTACTGTGGAGTTATTGCTACATCTATTTTATGTCTCAAGTAATTTAATCACATGGCAGAGTATGATAGACATAATGTTTTGGTTTGTTTTTTTTTTTTCTGTAAGATGTCATGCTTTCTGAATTTACCTGTTCCTTGAGCACATTTTCCACTCAAAAAACAAAAAACAAAAAAAAAAAAACCAAAAAAACCCCAAACAAACCAAAAACCAAAAACCCACACCACGAGCAACCCACAGGCTTTTGGAACAGAACAAAACCCAGACTTGTCAAGGTATTACAGATACCACTGTGAAGTATTCAGGACAGTTTTAATGTATCAACCATTCATACCTAGGCACAGCAAAGCTGTGTGCAAAATATACACAACTTGAACCACAATATTCAGTGGGTTTTTTTGTAAATATAAGAGCTAGAAAAAGTCTGCAATTACCTGTAACTGTCAACTCTGTAGTTCTTCTGACAACAAAGAATCCATATTTTAGCTCACAAGTGTAATTTCCAATGTCATCCTCTCTAACTTCCCGAATGACAAGAGTGTCCTTTTTAAACACAATACTTGATCTCCATGTCTTTGTCTTGCATTCCTGTTTAAAGAGAATATAAAACTTCAGGGACTGTGTTCTTACACTTAAAATGAACCACTGTAGACAATGCTGCCCAAAGTCAAGGTGGCTAGGCAAAAGCCCAGGATAGCTATAAATGTATATAAACTAAATATGTAAAAATCCAGTCTATTTAGATGTTAGCTAAAATTAGTTTTATCACCTGATTTGATATTTATGCCTCTGGTTAGAAAAGGGAGTTGATTCCTTTGGTGTTTTTTGTTGTTTTTTTTTAACAGCTGCTGAGTGGCTCATATTTAATTTACTTATTTAGCTTTACACTTATGTCTGCAATCTGTGACTTTTATATTACCAGCCACTCAGGCTTCAGGGGAATTTTTTTTTTTCTTTGTAATTAATTTAAAAAATTATATTTAAAAACTGTAAAGAAAAAGAAGATGAGAATGAAGAGATGTAAGGGTGTTATATCTCTTATATATATCTCTTTCTAAAACCATCTTAGAATCAAAGCTCTCTGAACCCAGAAAAATTGCATTCTTAATCTGAAAAAGTATTTTATTACAGACACAAAATCCAAGATGAGAATAAGCAAATAGTTGGCTACATTTCTCCTACCTTAGATATACTATCAGTTAATTTGGACACTATCTTTCTGGGCCACAAAATTCAACTTTTTAGATAGCCCAGTGTTGTATAACATAATTAATTCTACTGCATTCCCCACAGGCAACACCACTTGCAAGAACTTGGCCCTTAAGTAATGATCTAGAAAGCATTACACAGTATTGAAATAAAGTTATTGAAAAAAACAATATATTTGCAAATATAACCTTAAGTATGTAAAACATATGTAGAAACCGAGGTTTTGGTAGTATTTGCTGAATTTTATGCTGCAAAACTAAGCTGTTTATTCAGGTAAAGCATACATAGATATCTCATACAGTTAACTAAAGGAAAAATTTGAATTTCTCAATTTGCTCATTCTTTTCTACCATTGGTCCTGTTGCTTTTTCTTGACAAAATCAAAAACAACTCAAGCTTCATAACACATTTTGATCAAGGGAATCATAAGAACATTGAATAATATATATTTGAAGATATAAATCTCTTGTGTTCCTTACCTTATACCACAGAATTTCAGGCTCCCTAAATGGAAATAAAAAATCCTCAATTTCAGGACATGAGATTTCCTTGCTTTTGCTAAGTTCAGCTTTTTCAAAATATTTCATCTTTGAATTGTAGCAGAGTCCAGTGTCATTTTCACCCACCGTCAGCGAAATGGACACTTTCATGCAGTAGGTTGAGTTTCTGTAATGCAATAAAAATAGAAAGAAAAGTCTAATAAATTGGAACTTGAGCAACACACCAAGAGCCACATATTCATCAGTGCTGAGTATGCCCTAAACGGGGAGTAGTAACATTTTACAGACATTAATTAAAAACAATCTTGTGATTTGTTATAGAATGAGGGATGTTTCAATCTAAGTCACTGCCAGTTTGTTGACCATAGCCTTCAATGCCCGTACTCCCAGGACAAAATATTCTGCATTTCCTACAGACTTCATGAGCTTGTGTTCTCTCCTGAAACTAGTTACTACCTCTGTTTCTGGATGTTGGTAACTGGGGCAGCTGGAGACATTCCACTATGTGATTAAATCAGGCAAAAGGCAAAACTGCTTGACATGATTTTATAATTTTTTCATTTGAATTTCCAGGTGGGGAGCAAATGAGAGTATAAATGAGTTGAGTACTCCCTGGGAGCACACTGTGACGGTGTAAGACTTCTCTCCTACTGTTCTGTAAATGCATTTTACCCCTGGCTTTCTGACAGAGGGTCCTGCAGAGAGCACTGAGGAAACATTCACCTCCTTATCATCATTCTCAGCTTCTATGAGCTGATTGCTTATTTATAATGGACTTGTATCAGACATGGCAGAATCTCAAAGATCAATTTCCTAGTATCTGATTCCTTTTCCTGTTCAATAAGAGGGGATAGAAATACTTAAGAATAAAGAATATTTAATTCAAAGAACTCTACAGTTCAGAACTCTACAGAAAATGTAGCCTTGTAAATAACTATCAAATTAGAGAATGGTCTTAGAAATGTAATTTTTTGAACAGAATGACCCTTAGCTATCAATCTAATTAATGGACTTGTAGGGAAAACAATCACAAAATTATTTCCTTATAATGAAGTATAATTTGTTACCGTTTCAGAATTTGGCTGTATAAAGCAAATAAAGTTGTTTAAGCTTTTTGCAAATCAAATAAAGGATCCACTGAATATGGATCACTCTTGCTGCATTTAAGCTGGTAAGGAGCCAATTACCATTCTTACCTGTACATGCAATTGAAAATCACTCACTTTTTAAAGAATATTTTTTCATTAGTGCAAATTATGTTATTTTTCCATTGTGGCGTTACTTGGAATATTTTATTTATTTGTTTGTTTATCATGTGTCTCGAAAATATCATAAAAAGTCACTTAATTCTGCTTTTCCAAATTGGCAAAATGCTTTTTCTTTTTCTTGGAAGACTCATTCCTTGGAAACAGGTTCTGAACAATCCATCAAACTCTGAGGTTTAAGACTAAACTGAATGGAATTGTCCTGTTATTGGATGACAGGAGCAGCATGTAAGAAGCCATTTGACTATGCAATTTTCACATTTAAATATTTTCTTTAATTCTGTCCTGTGTGTTTAACCATCATGTTTTCATCATGTTACTGAATTTCATTATTCATATATTTCTCGAAGGACATGGCAGGGACAAAAAAGGGAGGACATTTTACTTTCTTCCCAGTCTCTGAAGAAGCAAGGTTAGTAAAATTTTTGCATAAGCATCCTTCAATATTCAGAGTGAATTTTTCAAAAATTATGATTAAATGTTTTGATGTACTAAAGAACTCTGTTCTGCAACAGTGACAAAGTCAATTGCCAGAGACAGAATTTTGTCTGAGGCACATCCAAGTTTCCATCGCAACAGCAGATCCTTTAGCAGATGCAGCTAAGGCTTCCTGCTCCATCAGAGAAGCATTTTGGAAATATTTCAGAATGTTTAAATTCATTGTTTAAAATGGATCTTTCTAAACTGTCAGATACAAGGTACTGAAAAATTTTGGGTGGGTTTTTGTCAGTTGAGTTCTCTAACTGAATTTTCTTTCAAAAGCTCAAAGAATTATTAAAACAACCCACAGTTCCAGATGCCCACTGGTGACACAGACTTCCTTATTTCAATTCTAAATACTAACTGCACTGTCAGTCTGACTCATCTCATGTTCTGTGTCAGAAACCAAGGCTGTTGGGATGAAACAAAACCCAAAGAGGTGGGTACAGAAGGCAGAGCAACATCAAGAGTATGCGATAAGAAAGCCAAGAAAATGGACTCACAGTGCAGAAAGAGAGAAAGAAAATTAAAAAGTCCCTAGGTAGGAATGAAGAAGGAGGGGATGAGTTTGCTGATTACAGCTAGAGAATGAAGGATACAGTAGATGTCAATCCTCTGAGGCAACAGAAAGAGTAGCAGGCAGCAGAGCCCTCTGGAGCATGCACATACTGCAGAGGGTAAAAATGCTCATGTGTTAGAAGCAAGAAAGTTTTCCATATGTCTCTTACTAGAGGGACCAGATATGAAATAAATAAAAGAAGTAAAAAACCCTACGACATGTGTTTAAGGGATTTTAAAAACTGGTATTTGCTAAACTAACTGTGTTTTAACTCACTTATCACATGATACCTTTGGGGTGTTTCTTTTGTTTGTTTGTTTTCCTTTGTTTTTTTCCTGAACATGGTAATAAGAAGAGGTGAAAAATTACTAAATTATTTTTTTTCCTAATCTACCAGTCACAAATATTCACAAGTAAAAAATTAGCTAGAGCCTTTTTGTACATAAAAGTGAAGGTTTACACTTTCATCGGTTATTCAATAGATTTTCAAGTGTTAAAATAATGACATCTAAAAGTAAAAAATACAAAAATAGGACAAAAAAGAGCTGTTTGGCAGTTTTTATATAAGACAACAAACCCATTTAATTTATCTTAAAGTTAAAGGAGCTGGTTTGTTAGAGAGAAAAGGAAGAGACACGAGGGGGAAAACGGACGAGAGAACACACAAAGAGCAAGAATAGCTCCTTTGAACTTTAGCTTTTGCAATATTCCCATCTACATTTAAAGGAGTTTCTTTGAGATATAAGAATTTAAAGCATGGTTTCTTTATAAATAAATCTCTAAAATAGGTCCGATGGGTTTGCACCTACAAAATTCTGCTTTTTTTTCCTCAGAAAAAGACCTGATGTAATTCTCAGTCTCTAGCCTCACCAGAGAGAGCTCAGTGAAGGATTTACACAGCTCAGTACCATCCAGGCAGCATCCCTCATCATCCCTGTTCATGACAAAAGGGAAAGTGAGACTATTCCTGTTACTTCTCCACCAGGTGCTTTGCCATTATACTATTTACTAGAATAAAAACACTGGAGAGCAAACAGGAGGCCAGAAAATCTCTCTTATGTTTCTCCTCATCATACAAAGTGGGAAAGTAACTTTATTTTTGACTAAGCTGGAAAACTAACTTAATTTCCAGTTCCTGCATAACTGGACTTTTAAAAGAAAGTCTGAGAAAACTCTTTCCTTTGCAGTTTTATTTTAAATTTTAATAAACAAACTTAGCCATTGATGTCCATATCCACTTTCTATCAATGATCCATCACATTTCTGGGGAAAACTTTTGTTGACTTCATTAACTAGTTTTTTCATGATTTTGCTGAGACAATTTTGTCCTTTTTCAGTCCAAGTAATTTCTGTTACATTTATATGGAAGCCTGAAAGCTGGAGAGGAAAGAATTCATTCAAGGCAGGAACAAAAACACGTTCCCAATAATCAGCTCGTGCTCTTGGCCTGTGGCCCCAAAGGCTCTTTGTGAACTTTTAAACTTTCATACAAAACTTTTTAAAGCCTCTAGAGAGCAGCAGGGTTTTTTGAGGACATGCCTGAGGCTTTGGGCATGTGGTGAGGGAGAAAGGCCAGGGTACTGCGGGGCAGCCAGGATAACTCTTGTCCACTGAGGTCCCTTTGCTGGCAGGATCTGATGGCCCCAGCAGGTCACTGCCCCCACAGTGGCTTCTGGAGCATTCATTCAGGAAACCAATTCACAAACTTTATATACAGGATTCTCTTTTATTGGATTTGGGTTTTGTTTGTTATTTGGGTTTTTTTGTTGATTTTTTTCCCTCAAGCTCTGGAATGGCTGACTCCCACACTCGCTGGCTGTGATATCTGAAATCACAGATTGCCTTTTCCACAAAGCTTCCAGAGCCAACAAAGCTGCAAGTGCTGGGGCAGAGCTTCAGGCATGGGGAAAGGAGAAGAAAAGTGGAGGGAGATGGACAGAAGCCGGCTGGAATTTTCCTCTGTGCCTTAGAAATTTTCTGCTGCTTCCATACCCTGGGGGGCCGACCCAGTTTGGAAACTGCTTTTGACCTCAATTGAATTACATAAGCACTGATTTCTTCCCTCAAGGGTCACCTAATTATGTGCATGATACTATGAAATAACCCAGTGCACACGAGCCTCCAGGAGTATTTGAATATCAATACTCTGCAAGATACTTGTTTCAATAGGTTTGAATTAGACACACCAAGGTATTGTTCAGTTTTAATGCCTGCTTCCATCCTTGGAAGCCAAACCTTCACATTTTATCTTTTTCTGACACAAGTGGTATGCACTGCCATCCTGAGTTTCCCCTTCACTCCAAACCTGTCAAAAGAGAATGTCAAAATGCAAAGTCTAACTGCATTAAAATAATGCTTTCCTTGTGTAAGAGGTAGCTAGAGACTGATATGAAAGGCCTTTTAGTGATATTCTAAACAATAAAAATTAAATAAAAATTAGCCTTTACAAAGGAAATTAAATTTTCTCATCCTTATAGTATTCTAAAGCTTCTTTTTTTTGGGTAAACTAGAAAAAAGACATGTAAAATTTTATGTTATTGATTTTTCTGTATTATCTCTTTCTTTTTTAATGTCAAAGTGAAACATTTCTTTATGAGAATGGGAATCAATCTGATATTGATTTCCACAATTTAATAAAACTTCACTTTCTTAGAACAAAATACTCAAAAAAAATTTTGACAATACCCTTAATTATGAGCTTGTACTGGCATTTACATGGAAGGCAAAATTACATAAAATTAACTCATTTCCTTAATTTCCCCATCAAACATTTTCTTTCACATTAAAGCTTCCTTTCAGATACATTAAAAGAAAAAAGTCCATAATCATATACAGTTATAAAAAAATATTCCTATAATGTAA